CTCTGGATGGGTTGTAACGAAGCTGTGACTCATATACAGCAGATAATTGAGTTTGTGAGGCAAATTTGTATACAATGTACAAATGGTCGTTCAAGGAGTCCACTTCCAGCACCTGCCAACCACAAATCCTCTGCACACAGTTACTGCTGCAGACCATAAGGTCTATCCAAGTTTCTCCATGTATACTGGAATAAGTAGGCAGAGAAAGAGGATTGCTTATTATTGAGAGATTATTGGTTGAGAAAAAATTCCGCAAATCCCTCACCCCTATGATTGAGTTGACTCCTCCCCAAGTTGGGGAGTGAGCATTGAAATCTCCTGCCACAATGATGTTTTCTCCTTGAAATTTGTCTATTATGTTTTGTAAATTACAAGTGATATCGTCAAGAGGAGTATCACCAGGGCAGTATACGTTAACTATTATAATTCTATCACTGGCAATACAAGTCTCCAAACAAACAATATTTTCATTACTAAAAGATTTATGTAACAAAATTGGTAAATTATTGTTTACCACAATAGTGGCAGCCCATGGATAGTCATTTGTACCTTTTAAAATGGTACATTTAGTAGCAAGACAACTAGGAGAATCAATACGACAATAAGGTTCCTGTGTTAAAATGATATCAGAAGTCTGAAAATTTAATGTTAAGGAGTGAAGAAGCTGCTATACTTCTTCTAAGGTTTATTTGTAGTATACGTATCATTTTGTTTATTAAAGGTTCCATAATCTGTATTATTTATTAATTTCTCCCTCACTCTGTTGTACACAGGACAGGAACCACTTCGTGCATTATGGGCACAATTTACAGCCCTTTCATATTTACAATTGCAGCATATAGGGTGTTATTTCATTTGTGGCATTTATTATAGGAGTGGTCTTCAGTACAGTGACTGCATATTTGTTTAGGCAAGTCACAATTCCTAGTTGAGCGACCAAATCTGCAGCATCTTAAGCATTGTAGTACAGGGCAAAAATCGAAGACTCTGCATCGCAACCAATCAATGTTTAATTTTCCCTCTCAAAATTTGTAGCCTTAATTCAGGAGAGGTCTCAACTACCCAGTTTTTATATCTTCCTCCTTTCTTGCCTACATTAAATTTAATTTTAAAGAATTCGTGGCTATTTTCAGTTGTGTACTTATGCTTTAGAAACTCATTGTGCTCCAAAATTAATATTGGTATGTCTTCTCTATCCACTGTACTAAGCACTGAATGTATCATTACATGTGGTCTCCTTTTTTTTAGGGTATCTAGTAGTTAAATTGTATTGATGCAATTTTCCAAGGTTTAGGCATCTTCCATATGATCTAATTCAATGGCCAATCCCCCTCTCCCTATGTTTCAGACTCATTCAATGCCAATATTGATTTCAGATGGCCTGATATTGTCCTGCAAAATCTTTCGTACTTTATCACTATTACTTAATTCGTCCGTTTTTCCATACACCAGTATTACATCTTTAGGTTTTATTTTGTTCATTGCAGCATATGTTTTCGTAGGTGGCCTCTGAAGTAGAGCACTATATGTCATTTGTTTCTCCTTCATATTGTCTTCATAATTTTGTGATTTTTTCTAGAACTTTCTTTTGTATGTCTATGCTCTCATTAATAGATACCTTATTCAAAATTAAGTCTATTTTTTTTATAAGAGTTAGTAACTCATGTTTGTATGGTTTATCTGTAAAAACATCAATCACACGCTCAACGCAATTTATAATAAACTGAGTGTTTTGGTGTACTGAATTTTCCACCATTATTTTCATTAATATATTGTTTAAGTTCGCTAACCACCTCTAAAGCAGATGCTCTCATCTCTTCCATAGTGGTATTACTTATAATGTCCATCTTATTTATATTATTTATCCATTTTAGATACAAACAATGTTCAATTAATAATAAAATAAAATTATGACAAAATAACTATATAATTAATCAATAAATTACCAAAAGATTCCCTATAATCTATTTCAAAAATATATAATGTTTAAGGTAATATTATTATTAAACTATAAATATAGCTCTTCTTTGCTATGATGCAAAGATAAAGGTGGTCGTTTCTATAGCAACGAGATGGAATAGCTAATCTACATAACAGAAAATTTGGTCAAACATATGTAATTTAAATTTGGCTGAGGATATCTGCACCAAATTTTGTGGACATATCACATTTGATGTCCTCTCACGGATACCCGAATAATTTCCTTCTAATCCAAACAGGAAGCCCAGTAGCTTCTTTTGAAGTTTACCAGAAATAAGCAATATCTCCGTAACTGGAGGTCAGAGTACGCCGAAATTTAAGAGATGTACTTACAGTACGATGGAGACCTAGCTCCTGTCAGGCAGTCCGAATAAATCTCACAGTTTTCCGGTTAATTGACCAAAAGGTGTAATTGTTCTGTTGAGCATCATGACAGTATGTGATAAGTGATGACATCAAATGTGGATAACAATGAAATGGCCTACACGTGTAAATAACGGAAAAAGAACAGGGAAGGACCACGATGTGAAAATAAATATGAAATTGAGTTGATAACATAAACAAACAAGTCCAGGCAACTTATTGGTGCGAAACTTGCAGCCGTCAATGCCAAATAATTGTTTTCATAGACTTTGGAAAGCTAAATGCTTGTAATGAAAGCCACTTAGCGTGCACAGGCGAAAGCCTGGGGCCGTTCAGGCTACCAAGCTGTCTGGAACTTCAGTTATGATAAATAATTTTGTACAATGAAACAAAAAAGTTAATTTAATTTTCAAGTTTATAATAAGGGATGATTTTATAAACATGCTTTACAGATCATTAATTATTATTTTTTTCACATTTTATGACCTAAGTTTCAATCTGATGTGCCCACGCAGTAAAAATTTTCATACAAATGTTTTACCCTTTTTCACCCCTTTAGGGTTGAATTTCGTAAAATCTTTTCTTAGCACGTCTAAACTTTACAAAAGGAATACACCCTCAAATTTTTAAGTTTCTAGCACTATAGTTTTGGCTCCGCGTTAATTATCCTATCAGTTCTTGTTCTTTTATATACGAGTATATAGATAACTAAACTACATAATAAGTAGGGTAGTTTTCATTTGATTTGTTATCTTTTTTTGATTTATTAAAATAACTTCAGCATTAATAAAAGTTACCAAAATGATTAATTTACTGTGTTTTTGTTATTTCTTACTCCTGTTTTAAGATATTTGGCCGAATAGCAAAAAATAGGCCAAATACCAAATGGTAACCTAATATTCATTGCATCACTAATATATATATATATTGCATGTGAGCCTATTAACTAAGCTGATGGGACATAGAGCTATAGCTAAGGGGGCTATGAAGTAGCTGAGTAAACCAGAAAACTTTTCACACATTAAAATTGCCACAAACAATAAAGTAATTATCTTCTAATTTTTATGAGAAAAGAAATTTAAACAATGCTAAAAATGTTATCTAATTTGAATAAGGTGGAATAATATATGATAAAGAAAGTTAACCACAAATTAGAAATCTCCATTATCAAAGACTAAACACTAGAATAAGGAAAAAGAATGCTTGTTCCATGATAATTTTCATGCAAATTAGAAATAACATTGAGAAGTTTTAACTCAATGTTATTTCTAATTTGCATCATGTAATTAACTCAATGTAATTAAGAAGTTTAACATTGAGTTAAAACTTCTTAATTACATTGAGTTAATTACATAATGTTAAACTTCTTATTAACATTGAGTTAAAACTTCTTAAGAAGTTTTAACTCAATGTTATTATTCAATGTAACTCAATGTTGATATTCCTAGCTTTTAGTAGAAAAAATTAGACCTAAAACTTCTTAAGAAGTTCAATCAACAATCATATAAATTATTTATTAATATTAGCATGATATAACATTTATTGTTAAAAGATATGACATTTTGTAAAAATATTCTGATAAGCTTGAAGCATGTGCAAAGGCCATATTTAGTTACGTTAGTCTCAAAACCAGAAAACAGTGGAACTAAAAGACAGAACATGTAACTCTAATAATAAATAACAGTAATATTTTATCTTATAATTGAGATGGGTTGATGATGATGAGTGCAGAACCCAAACAGTTAGGAGTTGAAAGTTGAAATTTGGTACACAGAGCACTGTACATTCTCGTGATGTACCCTAAGAAGGGATTTTTCGAAATTCCCCCCACGGGGGAGAGGATTAAGGCGTATCGTAAAGAACTCAGCTTCTACTGTACTATTTTAGATGCAATTTTTTGTTTTGCATTTTTGACTGTGTTTTAGTAGGGTATACCATGAAATGCACATTAAGAAGGGATTTTTGGAAATTAAACTCTCTAATGGAAAAGTAGGAGAGAGTTAGGTTTAGTCAGTATAAAGTGTAAATAATAAAAAAAGAAAGCAAATAGTGGCACATATAGTATACATTTTGGAAATTTAAAATATTTTAATCATTTCCACTCTTCAGATAACCCAAAAACAATAAATCCAAAATAAACGAATTCGAAATATAATGTTCCAAAAAAGTTTTTTTTTAGATTTTAGAATTTAAAATTAATCATTTTATTCAAGTAATGTTATCATCAAGTAAGTTAATTCTCGTTATAATGGAGAATTAACTTACTTGCCTGAGCAACACTGGGTTCATCTGCTAGTATATATATATTTAAATAAGTTTAAATCTCATATTCAAAAATAGAGAATTTTTTATATAGGGTGTACCACATAATACTGGCCTGAATGAGATGATGAAATAGCTATATAAATTTTATAGGGATTCAAAAAGTAAAATAAAGTCTGAACACGATTACGCATACATAAAGGTGCAGAAATGACCAAGGACACTACTTTCGGCATCTTCTGTAAGTTTCTGTATGTTTAAATAATCATAACAAGCGTCTTTTCCCTAAATTTATTTGTATCGTTTCTGGTGAGTGGGGACAATTTTATGTGGGACACCTTGTATATTAAGCTAATAATTCTCTTCATGATTTCTATTTCTTCTATTTTCAACAGAGATGTTACCAATGTAGATTTTGAAGGGTGTATAGATAATGTACAAATTGGTACACAGTTACAAGATCTTAATAACAATAAAGAAGCCTTAGGAGTTGTTTCGGGTTGTCCGCCTATGGTAAGTTACTATATTTTTTATTCTAGATTATACATTTTTATATTTTGTAAGAACTATACTCATTTTTGCTAAAGTAAAAGATCATTCATTTATAGCTTTTCCTCATTTTCATGTTAATTAAAGTTAAGAAAATGTTAGATGGAAACCTGCCAATTAGGAATAACTTAAATTATATTTTAATTATTTTATATTCTCTTTAATATGTTTTCAAAATCAATCAACACAGAATTAACTTATATAAAAGGAGATAATAAAAATGTTAATTGTTGGTGCATTTTGATAAATTCATTCTTAATAGTTTAGGAAAACAAAATTATAGAACGTATTTATTAGTAATTGCCAAATTGGAATGTGTACATCTTTAGGAATGCATAATAAATTTTTGGAGGTGCTTGAGAAAAATCTTCAATCTTTCAGAATTGCTTTTAAGCATAAATTGAGTGTGTAATTTTACTCGATTGTACCATTTTAAACTAATATTTACATTTAAAATAAATTTGAAGTTTCTGGATGATTTGATTTTATGGGATGACTGCTACTTTTCTTTACTGATAGAGAGGTATGCAGTTAAAGCAGTGGTTCCCAATTAGTGGTATGCGTACCCCTAGGGGTATGCGAAATTGCGTGAAGGGGTACGCGCGGTAATCTAAAATCGGTCTATTTAAAATTTAAATGCATGAGATGAAGCAATCAAAAAAATAATGGGGATAAAAAATTCAGCAATTTACAACATGATGTCAAATGCACAAATTCATTTATTTATAACTAAAAATATTCTTGAAATTTCATTAAAAAAATGCATTTGTGACAATACCTAAATGAAATTCTTACATAAGAAACAAAAAGTGTACAATTAACACAATTTGTGTTAATTGTACAATTATCACTATCATCGTGTCAGCGAAGCGGAAATAAAATATTTACTACCATTTTGCACAACATACCTCTGCAAGAGCAGATTTTCGGCCGTGACAAACACGATAACTAAACATTGTCACCGACTTCGACTCAAAAATGACTCGAGACTGAAGCTGACCAAAAAGCAACCAGATTTTACAAAGTTGTGCAAAGATTATCGTGCACATTTGTTGCATTAAAATTAAATAACCTTATGTTATTTTCATTATTATTACAATTGTATTTTAAAGGTAATAAATGTAAAAAAATCTTATTCTATCACTAGCTGTCTACCCACAACTTCGCCCGCATTATATCGAATTTTCTTGTGGGAGTAAGATATTTTCTCGCAGTAAAATGTAGCTTATGTCCATCTCCAACATGTAAGCTATCTCTGTGCCAAATTTTATTAAAACCTGTTCGGCGGTTTAGACGTGAAAAGGTGACAGACAGACAGACAGCATTATCTTCGAATTTATAATATTAGTATGGATTAATATGAATTTCTGCTATAAGGGGTACCCGAGTTTGAGCTCTTTCTCGAAGTGGTACGCAGGAAAAACTAATTGGGAACCACTGAGTTAAAGTATTATATACTCGTCCATAATTTAAGGAATTTACAAGTACACATATTTTCTGTCCTTGCACAGGAACAAATGCAAGTAGAAATGCTATATGGCAACTTCTAAAGAGAGTGATGTAGGTATATGCAAATATACTGATAAAGGAATTGGTGTAAAAGCATTTCCTGTCAGCTTAGGCAATTGGCATTGTAAGAAGTCATTACTGCATTGCGTGTGCAAATGTTGTTATCACTTTTTAACTGCAAAATATTATCTGTAGGCAATAATTATGGCTCAAACAAAACATATTGATGACATTATGCATGGCAGGATTATCAGGAGATTAAAGGCTGGCCAAGTTCACATACAAGTGTCACAGGAACTGAGTGTTCCATCAAGTGTTATCTGTGGGCTTTGGTAATGGTTCCAATGTGGCCAAGATGTTTGAAGGCAATACAGTAAAGGTCGCCCATGTGTCACAACTCCATTTCAGGACTAGTATATGTCCATAAATGCCCACTACATGTAAATTGCTTAGAGAACTCTCAGTTGCATCAGGTATCATCATATCCAGGCAAATGATTTATAGATGGTTATTGGTCTGTATGCAAGGCAACCTACTGTATGCATTTCTTTAACTTCATCTATGCTGATTCACAGAACATAGTCTATCAAATGTGTTACATAGACTCCACAACAATGGGCCATTATATTCTTACTGACAAGTCCTGCTACAGCCTAGAGACTGATAGTCGATGAGTGTGCATCCGACAAGCCCCAGGGACACTATAATCCTGCCCACATCATTGAATACCATCATTCTGAAGGTGGAGGAATCCTCGTTTTGGGGTGGTATCATCTTAGGGTACTGTACATCGCTGCATGTGTTCAAATTCATGGTACAATAACAGGCCAGATTTACAGGGATGTCATCCTGTAGCAATATGTGCAACATTTTAAAGTTGAATTTAGTACAGGGTTCATTTTAATAGATGATAAAGCTTGCCCTCATAGGTCTGGTTTGTTTCAGGAATACCTGGAATCTGAGGATATAAGAAGTCTGGACTGTGGCCACCTTATTCATTGGACTTAAACACCATAGAACATGTATGGGATGCCCTCGGTTGCAGAGTTGCAACACATCCTCCTCCTCCACAGATTACCGTAGAGCTCCAAAGAATACTTGCACAAGAGTGGGATTCATTACTCCAAGAACTGTCAAACAACATTATAAACAGTATGTCAAACTACTGTGCAGAATGTATTGTTTATAGCAACCATACCCACTTTTAAGCTTCATAGGATCACAGGTGTGACATTCATGGCACAAGTGGTGTCATACAGGAAAGTCCAAGTCTATTGTCTTTCCTTTTTAGGATTAGGTGAACCCAAACTTCTATCCTCACTGTATTTCATCTCCCTATGTTATATCCATCCTCTTGAAAAGTGTTTCTCACAGCCAAACAAAACACAATCACCCCATACAGCAAATTCTTTAAAATATGGACACGTATATGACATGGTGATATTCAATCCATGTTCCATAAAGTTCTAGGATTTCACAAACACAATTTATTAAATAAAAGGCATTTAAAAAGTTCAGTGTCTCCAAAAATTATATTTAGTAAGGGTGATGATGATGATAATACTAATTCAAGCATGTGCTTAGAAGTGCAACGTCCTATCAGTGGCACTTTCAAGCTAGGTAATCTAGACTTTTTGTCTAAGGCTTCAGACACAAAAGTATACGCTTATAAATATTCAGTTTTGATTCAGAAGTTCTTAATATTATTTAAAATAGCATACGAGACAAGCATTACATTTTATAAAATTATATAAAAAGAGTCATTATCCATGCTTATATAAGATCTCAAAGAAACTAAAACCTCTACTGATTTCTGTAGTCTCTAGGTTGCGAACAAATATGACAAAGATTAAATCAAATTATTTGAAACAATTTTAATTACAGTTAATTAAACATTATTTTCTTTCAGATTGCCAGAACCATTTCATTTTCAAATATCACTCCAGGATACGTGGCAATGCCTAATATTAATTTAAGGAGGAAAGCAGAACTCACTTTCAAATTTAAAACCGAAGAGGACGGTCTCTTGTTCTATGCTGATAATGAAGAACACTTAAGTTACTTATCAATTTCGTTAAAGGACGGTAGATTAATTATGAAAAGTAATCCTGGTGGAGAAATCATAACCAAACCAGACATCAGATACAACGATAAAAAGTGGCATTACGTAACTGCTACTAAGACAAACAAAGAGATGCACCTAAATATCGATGACATAGACTTCAACGACCAGGAAGTTAGTGCTAGAACAAATCTCATCATAACTTCTCCTCTGTATTTCGGCGGTGTTCCCGATGATTATAGCATTAATGCGGATGCAGTGCCTTCTAAAAGGCATTTTATTGGTTGCTTGGGAGACACGACCGTCATAGGTTTGTTCCAGAATTTCGCAGACTCCCAAGATCGTCCAGGTGCTTCCTTGACTACCTGTCCACTGGCAGAACCCTCGCACATCGTGACCATCCAACCCGACGGTTCCGATTTAGGTAAACTTAAATCTTTTTTACTGGGTAATTCAAAAGTCCATGTATAAAACAAAGATTATCCAAATAGGCATAATTGTGATACCCGTGAGCAGATAACACGAGTAGGAAAATGAATTTGTATATATATTCAGTTAAATGACACTTGTATTCTGTGACTGTATAATAAGGTGAACTCTTTGGCTATGTAGGGAAACTTTTGAATTACTGTATGCATTTTTTAATTGTAAAAAAATTTCAATGTAAATTAATCTTCCTATTATTTTCAGAACCTACTGAAACCATTTATACTCCAGAACCTATACCCCCCAGCAAGTGTTACTTGCCATTACATCCCAAACCAGACTTGGATGTAAAACCCGAAGACGGACTCCGATATGGCAACACACCTTGGAGCAGACAGGAATTTTCAATTCGAGGAAGCACCATACTCGAAGAGAGTCAATTTAGCCTGGAATTTAAGACGCGCCTCTTTGATGGAATCTTGTTATACGTGGCGGGAAAAGGACAGATCGATTTTGAGGCTCTTTTTATGCAAGACGGAAAGGTAAATTTTAAATTAATAGTTATTAATTAGACATCTAAATATTAAATTTCTGTGTGTTAATTTATGCCAGATTCATTACACTTACAATTGTGGAAGTGGTGGGACCGTAATATCTACTACAAAAGCTTATAATGATGATCTATGGCATAGAGCAGATTTCTCCAGAAGTGGAAAAGAGGGCATATTGATTGTAGACGAAGAAGAAATCACGGGAGAATCTCCAGGACAGACTAGTTCCATGAATGTTAAACCACCTTTATATGTTGGTGGATTGTCAGAAGCAACTGCGAGAATAGCAAAAAATAACTTAAAAGTAAGACTTTTTCTAGATATATATATCATTCCCATTAAACATCATTTGTATAAACCATTCTGTTTACTTGTAATCCAATAAGATCTGCTGCATCTCAGTCAATCATCCAGAGCCAAAAACAGAACTAATCATGTTTCTTTTAATCAAAATAATTTGAATATTTTAATAAAATTATATTAAATTTGAAGTCTATAGACAAATAAGTCAAGGCTGATTTCCATATTGCCAGAAAATACTGCAGAAACAGAAAGGTGATGACACTTTCCTCTGAAAATCTTTGATTTTCAGAGGAAAGTGTCATCACCTTTCCTCTGAAAATCTGATTTTCAGAGAAAAGTGTCATCACTTTTCAGAGGAAAGTGTCATCACCTTTCTTTGATTGAAAATCTTTGATTTTGATTAGTAAAGAAGCATCGTGGTTACAACACATCAATGACATTATGATATAGTTAAAACGAAGTAAATCTACTTCATTTTAACTATAGCAAATTTTCAGTTTGTGTTTTGGTAATGTGGATACAAAACTTTACACTTTCTATCCAGTTCCTGCTAGAACAGAGCTATGACAGAACATAAATATCCAACTCCGAATATTTAAAACTAACAATAATTACCTTATTTTCCACTATAAAAAATAAATTTTTCCCCTCAAAAAATCACACTACATTTAATAAGATGAAAGTTGAGTTTGATTGCCATTGTCGTCACTAGATTTCGGAATTGAGAGCATGTGTGTTTTCCATGTGCTCCGATTTCAACACCCAGGATCAAATTCATTAATTTTCTTGAATCTTTGTTAAATTATAGTTTATCTTGCACGATGAGAAATATAGAGATAAGCCTTTAAATGGTTCATTTCACTACATAAATATAAATTGATTCTTAACGTTTTTGATATCTAGTTGCATTTCCACAGTTTAGTAAATATTTTATAACAAAATATTTAAGAACTAGCAGATGAGTCTATTGTAGACCTATTAACCAAAAGTTGATAATTATTTTGAAATTCTATCATTACAGGGAGTGATCGTGCCTTTCCCCGGCTGCATTCGAAACGTGAGATTACGTAACGAGGAACTAACCAAGCGTATCACTTCCGTCAACGTCACCGGATGTTCCGATAAGGTGGAAGAAGGAACCTTCATATCGGCCGACGGAGGATATGTCATTCTGTGTAAGTACCTCTTATTCAACTCCAGATTTCAAATTACGGATACAACTAGTGAATTTGTAGATGTTTTACCCAAGTTGTTATTTGGACTTTCTTATGTTGTCAAAAATAAGATGCTCTATAAATACTTAAGCAAAAAAGATTGAAAATTCCATATCCAATCATCCTCTTTCCACACTAGCTTTAATTGTTCGACCACTTTCTATAATGATTTGTAATTTATTATAATTTTTTTTTTATATTTAAGAATTCATAACCAAAATTTTGTGTTTCACTTATAACAAAAATAGATTTATCCACCGTCATCCAAATGACTTCTAGTAATTTATGGAATTAATCTAAGGCAAAAAATCCCAAAGTGGTCGATTTGTTCTTAATGGTTTTTCTCAAAAAATTTAAATAATCTAACGTACCGAACCATCGAGGATCTCTGGATCCCTTCATATGTCAATCTACCCTAGAAGCTGCGTGTAAAGATATTTTTATTTTAATTTACTCTTATCTCACTGGATGGTATGAGAGGAGAACAAAAAATTTCCATCTTTAACAGAATAGTTTGTTTTTTTTTTTTTTTTTTTTTTTTTACTTTCCTGGCAATAATGTAACATAACAAGGGAAAGTATTGGGATTGTGTCATATTTGATTCTCCGAGTTTTGAGAGCCCCTGAACTCAAAAATATTAAAACTGCAAAAAAATTCCTTGGATGTTTGTACTGGCATCTATTTCGCTTAATATCTCAGAATGGGATGAAGATAAAGAAATTTGCCATGACAGCTTGTGTGTAAAGGGCATCTGCGCTATTAAATTTTGGTGTGGGGAGATAGAGGGATCATATCTCTAGTAAGATTGGGCTTAATGGATATGTTATACTTTATTAGTATTTATTTTTCTATGAAACTGATCACCACTCTTAAAATTATGTATTTTACCATTTGATAATAATTAAAAATACAGAAAAATTTCATAAACAAAATCTCATAACAGGATGGCATCACACACAATTTTACTATATTGTAATTAAAAATATAAAAATTATGAGATTTTATTTAGGAAAAAAAATAACTGCTGGGAAAGTTATGCAGCTCATTGCTGGATTAGCATTAGTGTTTGTGTGTCTCTACAGTTAGATGTTCTTTAGTGTCTTTTATTCAAACTTTGCTTCAAATTTATCTTCCAGATGATAAATTCAACGTGGGAAAACAAATTTCCGTTTCGATGAAGATCAAACCCAGAAAGACGTCGGGAGTTCTGATGGCTGTGCACGGATCCAAGGACTATTTGGTAGTCCAGATGATCGACGGAATGGTCAAGTTCACCGTCGATGACGGGGGAGGCCCTTACAGCGCGGTCTACAACCCCCCCAGCGAAAACTATTTATGTGATGGAGATTGGCATTCCATCAGAAGTGAGTAAAATATCACATTCAATCTTTCACTTCTCTTTCTATTTTCATCTGCTTACTAAATTGGTTCCGCCAAAGACTGGCTGTTCCTAATTTCCAGATAATTATATTACACTTACTAGCCATTACTCACGGCTTTGCCTGTGCAGATTTTGCAATTTGATAGAAATAACTCTCCCTCTGTACTTCAAGATTGTCAATCATTAATTGTTACTGATTTTTGTTTGTTTCAAACTATGGACTGCTAATGCACCTAAATTCAAGTTTCAAATATTATGGGATTTGAAGATATGATAAATCTGAGTTTTTTTTTTCCAAAACATAAATGACATCTGAAAATTGCTAAAGTATAAATATTTACTGAAAAATAGAGTTTCAGTTACCCCAGTACCTCTTTGTAAACCATGTTTGTGATACTGCCTTTTAGGGCTAAGACTTTTTAAGCCTTAATCCTCACGAGAAATTCCCTTCTTAGCCTAACTGTGTACCAAATTTCACCTGTAGGTTCAGCAGTTTGCTCTGGGTGATGATGAATCAATCAGTCAGTCAGGACATGTAATTTTATATATAGATTAATCTATCAATATGCGTGCGTTCGAAATGACCAAAAACTCGTTTAATTATTGAAAATACTAAATTTCAATTTAATTAACTAAAAGAGCATAATTGAATAAGTTGTATATTTTACCAAAATTTGTGAAATGTAATGTACAGTACTAAACCGACCGGTGTCATTCAAAATCCTTAGGTACCGGTACCTATAGTTTATGGTGATACACCCGATCCTCGAGGATGAACTAGAGAATGAACAACCCATTGGGTAAACGTTTCCAAAGAGATCCTAAAACTCGAAAGACATACAAAAAATTATCGTATTTTACACAATCGTTTTTTTTTTGAGTCAGTGTAAGACCACACACGTGGCCTTACACTGATCCCCCCCAAAAAAATCAATAAAAATATGGTAAAAAAGAGTAACCGATATGGTAAAATCTTATTTTTCAGTCGTGAAAACCTCGAACGTGGCTATAGTCACAGTGGACGACGTCACCAGCGATCCAAAGTTCGGACCAGGCGCCGTCACCGCCACCGACACCAACGACCCCCTGTACCTGGGAGGAGTTCCCGACCCAGGTTCCCTGAAGGGAGTGGAAGTGACGGAACATTTCGTTGGATGCATCGGCTCCGTCAACCTGAATGACCAGAAGGTGTGGCTGACTCAGGGAAGAGTCTTCGGCCAAGTCACTTTGAATTCTTGTCCCAGAACGTAACTCAATTCATAAATTTGCCTCCCAAACGTCATATTTCAAGCATTTCTTCTTTTTTCGACCACACCCGTAGACACTCATCCGAGCTTCTTCTGTAATGGGAAGATTCCAAATTTGCCTTTTTAATGTAAAAGTAATTTCGAATAAAAGTATTTTCTCTGCTTTCATTATTTTCGGTAAAGAATACATTTCTGAGAAAATTATAAATAATGCACCGCACGTTATGCTTTTTTTCCTTTCGAGGGTGGCCAAATAATTCGAATTTACTGGAAAAATTTGGTCTAACGGCCATAAATTCCATTGGTTTTCGTAGAGTAACCATGTTGAAACGTTCCATGGCATTTTACCAGGATAAACGCATTTCGATTGTCACCTGGACCTGTCGTAAATCTATCATAACTTTTATGTAATTAGTTTTTCAGATTTAGAAACGTCGTTAAAAGTTACTCTTTAGAACGTTTTAAAGCATAAATTGGCCATAGATGTTTGTTCCTTTCTGTGTATTAATACTCTTACTAGTGTTCTCGTGATTATCTTCGTAATTTTTATTTTCTGTTTACTGTATACAGGTATACCTCGCCTTACGTCGGTAATTGGTTCCAGGAAAACGACGTAAGTCGAATTTACCTGTCTCCGAATCTACTTATCACTAGGAAAGCATTTTAAATAATATATGGTTAATAAAAATCTATTTTAAGCTTACAAACAAATAAATTTTAGTTTTTAATATAGTACAAAAAAATAATCTAAATTTACGAATGCGTGTACTGTAAATACAGTACATACTTGTATATATTTTAATATGATTTTATGTGCTTTAAACGTTTATCTAGTGATATTACGACTTCAATATTTGTGGCGGACAGACGTAAAGTCGAATAAAATGACTTAAACTTGATTTTTATTTTTCCATATACTTTTTTAACAAGCGA